TACAGTATTACAAATTGACAAAATTAATCCGGCAAAAAAGTTATTCTGTGGAAATAAAGAAGGTACTATAGGGAGTTGAGGTAAGTATCCTTCTTAAAGCAGTTCATTGAAATTTATATGAAACTCCTTTGAATTCAGTACAATGATTGGATATTCATTGTCCTCCATGTGATTAAACATGTTCAGATGAAGTTTAGTGTGATAAGTATCAATCTAATTTTCTATCATTTTAAAATTTAGATCAAGTTCAAGATTTTGGATAAAGTCATTCAACCCTGTAAAGAACTCATTTGGTGGAACTAAATGAGGTAATGCACGTGCTTAGGGTAAGTATGGTTCTTGAGGTGGTTTGTTGAAGTTCCATAAGGAACTCATTTGAAATCAATATTCTAGATATTATATTCTCTTAGAAGTTTTTGTACATGTTTAACTAGTTCCTAAGGAGAATGTTTAAGTTGTATATTTCAATAGTATTTCATTTAAAACAAGGTTGGGACTAACTCTTTTTATTTAAATAAGATGATAAATTGATATTTTGTTTATTCTGCATTATCAATTTTAAAATGGTTGGTAAGAATTCTCCTATATAAATGTTAGAGTAGGTGCCCGACAGTTTGCTCGTTACAATTTGGTATCAAAACCTAGGTTACTGATTTTCTAGTACAAGAGCAAATATCAAATAGAGTCCTGAAGATTGGTGTGTTGATGTCCACATTTAATCTTCAAGGAGTTATGAAGCATTCTGGGACATTATTTCACTTCTTCATTCCTTTCATGTGGTATGTTGTCTTGCTTATATAGGTTGAATTCAATTGATATCTATTTCAATTGGTATCTCAACAAAGGGAACTGAATGTCGTTGTCACGACTGAAATGACACAAACAAAGGAAGTTGAAACCAAAAAGGATTCAATTGATATATGGCCTTGGAGGCTATGTAAATGCATAGATATTCAGCTAGTGGTCATCTATGGTGCGAATAAATGTAATGAACATGACTTGATATTTATTGACAAAATTTGATGATTGTGATTATGTGCATTATATTGTCTGAATAACTGTAAAAGTGTGAAGTTTAATTGTTTGTATGACTGAAATTGCAGTCAGGAAAAGTCATAACATGGTTATATGTGATGGATTAATAATTGTACATTCGTAGTGATTCAAAATATTAGATCCAAGCAAACTCAAAATTAAGATTATTTTTTTATAACGAAGAATTAGGACATTAGTTTAAAAATACATAATTTAAAACTTTTTGTATAATTAGAAAATAGAAAATTATTTAAAAATTTATAAGTTAGATATTTTTAATATTATAAAATTATTTATGTTTTGAATTGATAGTGACTAATTAGTTTTAAAAAATAAAAGTTCAAATTTGAATTTAATACTTGTAGTTTTAAAGATGGTTACACTTTCCCAACTTTATCATAATTATAGAATAATTCAAACACCGAGAGATATTCTCTAATAATTCACATGTAATTATTTTGTTTGTTCAAAGATGTTTTTATTTATATATATGTTCAATTTTTATCTCAAACGTGTAGAAATTAGACTACTAAGGTTTGGTTGGACTTCTCAACTCATTGAATAATGTGATCGTGAAAGCTTTAAAAATAACAAAAAGAATCTTTTAATATAGTAAAAAAAAAATTAATTTTCTGAATTTGTTTACTGTTTCATTTGTATTATTAGCATCTAAAAATCTTGAAATCATATTTTCTGAATAAAGTCTTTTCAAATTTTTTGAATTTTTGTGCATTTTAAAGACAAATCCCAAATATTGAATAATATTATTTTTAAGTATTTTTTTGTTTACAATTTTGACAAAATGGGTTTGATTCAACAATGAAGATAATTTTTTTATATATATACTAGTTTTTGAAACGCACGTGTACCCCATCTAAATTGGCATAAATTGTTTCAAATTATCATTGTATAAAAAATAGTTTTATAATTAAATTACATGAATATTGTTCATTTTCAAATAAATTAGTTCAAATATTTGGAATCTACTTTTGGATATCAATAACAAATTAAAAATGACAGCAAAGTATCTCTTCTCCAAATGAAAGAAAAGATGAGAATATTTAGTAATTTAAAATACTATAATTATAAACACAAATTAATATATGTATTTTCTTATCTCATATGTTAATTACCTGCAAGACAAAGTTCAGAGAAAAGAAGAAAGATAAAAAAAAATGAAAAGAATTTGATAGTCATTTCGTAGAGTTAATTAAAATAAAATGAAGGCTACAATTAATAATTAATATTTTTTTTTATTATTTAGGGATCATATAAAGTATTGAATCCTACCAAATTAATTTTTTCAAAAATGAACTTAGAATACAGGAACATAGCATCAACGGAGTGACAACTTAAAATATCAAACGATATCAAAATTTAAACAATTGAACTTGCATTTCTCAAAATGAGACAAAATGAAAATAAATAAATAAGGATAAACATTTATATCACTATTTCTTCCGTGAATTAAAGAAGTTACTAATAATTTAATCATATGTTACTTTCTCCATCTCAAATTATTCATCATGTTTCATTCTTGTACACCCCTTTAGATAAAATTGATAAAAAGAAATATAGTTTTATACATTCTATTTTAATTACCCCCCCCCCCCCTCTACAAAAATAATCATATATAAGTAATAAATCCATAAGAACAAATTAAATAACTTTAATTATCAAATAATATAGTACAATAATTTAATCGTTAAAAAGATCAAGTAAATCATAATTAGTAATTTTTTTACAAATTACATCACACAAGTATATTAGTAAATGAAAGTATTATGATCTTATATTTTGATACATGACCTTTTATTTTACATTCAAAGAAGAAAAAATATGTACTAAAAAAAAAGCATATCTAATTGATTTTTGTACATATGATGATGTTTTCTTCCAGAAGATCATTCACCTTTGTTCTTAAAAAAAGAGAGTAAAGAATGCTCTGTTCCTTTCTAAAGAAGTTGATCCCCCAAATCTTAGCTTGCCCATTCCTTGTATATCACATGATATTGTTTACTCCAATATTTTTCATATTTATAGATGAAAAATGTAGGGATATTCAAAAAATTATAAGAAAAAGTGTATAGTCAAGAGTTAGATAAGTGCAAACCATGAAATAAATGCATGAGAATATTAACATTTGTTCTTGAAAGCATGACTTTTTGCTAATACATGAACCACTATCCCTCTGTTCCTAATTGCTTGTCCACTTTTGAATTGGCACATCTATTAAGAAAACAATAATTGACGTAATAAGTTTGCCATTTTACCCCTATTAATTATGAGGTGGATGAATTAAAAACTTAAGATTTTCAAGAAAGTCTACATTTTTCAAAGTAATTAATTGAGGGTATAATAGGTAAAAAAATTGTCTTTTTTTGATTTGTCAAAATGGACAAGTAATTAGGGACAACTAAAAAAGGAAAAGTGGATAAGTAATTAGGGATAGAGGGAGTATTAAATTGCTTGTAAATTTTAAAATAACCTTTGAAATTCCTAAAAACGATCTGTTATTAATTTTTTGTGCATTGAAATATTAATGTTTGCGTAGTAATTTAATTTCTAAGCATAAGTTATTAGAACAATGTTAATTTAGTGAATGAAAAATGATCATTTAATTTTTTTAGAAACATTTAATATTTAATTAATTAGTTTTTTATTAAAAAATAATTTAGTGTAGTGGTAAAATGATAATTCAACTTTGCACTTTGATGCTTCTTACTTTTAATATATAATATATATATTAATAAGAATTTTATGTACATGTTTGTATTATTATTAAATTAGTTTATATTCACTCTATTTGAAATCATTTTACGATTATAATTTTATATGAATTTAAGATTGTAATTTTTTTTTAACCTTTTGGATTAGAAAAAAATATAATTTAAAATGTTCTAACATGTTATTTAATCTAATGATATGTAATATTTCATGTGGAAAGTTAGAATTGATAAATTGTTAATATGGAAAAAAAGTTAATTTATTAATACAACATAAAAATAATAAAGAATAAACATGTAAATATTTGAACTCTTTGATGTTTTTGAAATAAAAATAATTAAAATTAATATATTCGGGCAATGCGCAGGTACATATACTAGTATAACTTATAAAAAGGGACATTAATAACAATTGTTTAAAGGCAATAATATATTTACCGCTAATTAATTATGTAGAGGAAACATTAATGAAACATAACATTAGCCGATAAAACAATATCCTTTTACTAAAAAATAAAATATTATTTTTATTAAAATCAATTAATTAAGACAAGATCATAGAAGAAAATAAAAATAGATCCAAAACTTATGAGTACACAAAAAACAAAAGGATATCTTCACTTAGTCCTTAAAAGTTTAAAACATAGAAGATAAAAGATGGTTTCAGTTCCAAATGGTATATAAAGATAAAACAATGAAAAATTATCAAACATCTTTCTCCATTGCATTCCATTTCCCCAAATAAAAATCCCTCAAAATGCTCCAGAAATGCGGTTGTGTATATCAAGGATTCTGATTCCTGTTGGCAACAATATACAATATTATAAATTGATAAAATTAATCATAAACTAAGTATTTGTTTTGTTTGTATATTGATACTAACCTTATGGAGATATTATCTTGAGTTGGGCTGCTACCAAAGAAATCTTCCAAACTTGTGAATAGATCATTTGGTGGAATGACCGGTAAATATACATTTTGATGTGGTTCATTGAAGTTCATAGTTAGATCATTTGTTTTCAATACATTGAAATGATTTTCGCTCATTTTGGAATAGAGGTCGAATTCAAGCTTTTGAATCAACTCATCCAATCCTGTAAAGAACTCATTTGGTGGAACTAATGAAGATATTGCATGTGCTTGGGGTAAGGATGGTTCTTGAGGTGGTGTGTTGAAGTTCATAAGGAACTCAAGTGAATTTAGTACATTAGGATGATTTCCTAGAATTAGAGAAGAAGAAGCATGTTGAGCTTGTCGTTTCTGTACTCTGTATTGCTGCAGAAGGAACAAAAATATTAAAGCAATTAAGATAGACTAAACAAATGTCAATTTACTGGTGTCTACACTTGAATATATTTCATCTAGATGCTAACTAAGATCTTAAATGAGTCCAAAGAAAATTTAGATACCTGTAGACGGTTCTCAACCTGTTTGCGATTTAATTGTGGCACATTCATATACTCCAAGATCGGTATGGCAGTGGCTACATCGACGAAAGATGAGGATTCAATAGTTAACAAAAAAACTAAATTAAGAAGAAAGTATTCTTAGATATACATACCTTTTTCTCCTAATCTGCGGATAGCTTCATTGAATTTCTCATTAAGATTCGGTGTCCATTTTATGCGTAGCCTTCTCTGCTCTCGTTCTTCCATAACTTTTTTGAAATCAACAAATGAACAAACAATTTGTGTTGTGGCTTAATCTTAATAAGTTGGTGAACACCTAGTTGTTTCAGGTTGATATCGAGGTAAAACTCTAAGTATTCCTCCTTTGAAGAGCTATAAAGTCTACGTTAATTAATGTCTTTTGTAATACTTGTTGAATGTTCTGAGAAAGGTATGTAATTTCTTATTTATAGATGGAGCAAGTAGGTAGTCCAAATGTAAATGAATTCTCTTGCCTTATTTTGATTGATTACTTTCAGACATCAAGCAAATTGTTAGCATTGATCCTATTGGCCAAATTTGAATGTATTATCACACCGCTTTAACACGTGTTATGAATTGGGGTCATATGTAATCTCTTATCTACAGATGGAGTAAGTAGACAACCCAAATGTAAATGAATTATCTTGTCTTATTTTGATTGCTTTCTGTCAGACATCAAGCAATTTGTTAGCATTGATCCTATTGGCCAAATTTGAATGTATTATCACACCGCTTTAACACGTGTTATGAATTGGGGTCATATGTAATCTCTTATCTACAGATGGAGTAAGTAGACAACCCAAATGTAAATGAATTATCTTGTCTTATTTTGATTGCTTTCTGTCAGACATCAAGCAATTTGTTAGCATTGATCCTATTGGCCAAATTTGAATGTATTATCACACCGCTTTAACACGTGTTATGAATTGGGGTCATATGTAATCTCTTATCTACAGATGGAGTAAGTAGACAACCCAAATGTAAATGAATTATCTTGTCTTATTTTGATTGCTTTCTGTCAGACATCAAGCAATTTGTTAGCATTGATCCTATTGGCCAAATTTGAATGTATTATCACACCGCTTTAACACGTGTTATGAATTTGGGTCATATGTAATCTCTTATCTATAGATGGAAAAAGTAGACAGTCCAAATGTAAATGAATTATCTTGCCTTATTTAGATTGGACATCAAGCAATTTGTTAGCATTGATCCTATTGGCCAAATTTGAATGTATTATCACACCGCTTTAACACGTGTTATGAATTTGGGTCATATGTAATCTCTTATCTATAGATGGAAAAAGTAGACAGTCCAAATGTAAATGAATTATCTTGCCTTATTTAGATTGGACATCAAGCAATTTGTTAGCATTGATCCTATTGGCCAAATTTGAATGTATTATCATATCAGTTTAACACATATTATGATTTTGGGTCATATGTAATGTTTTATTCATAGATGGAGCAAGTAGACAATTCAAATGCAAATGAATTCTCTTGCCTTATTTTGATTGGTTCCTGTCAGACATCAATCAATTTGTTAGCATTGATCATATTGGCCAAATTTGAATATATTATCACATCGCTTTAACATGTGTTATGAATTTGGGTCATCAAGATAAAATGAATCATAGGCTTGAATTTAGTAAAATAGACTTATTTAATTATGTATTCTAAATAAATCATTCAATTCAAATTAACATGGATTCAATGTACATTTTGTATGAATTTAACCTAACAAAATATGTGTTTACAATTATCAACTAAGAGCTTAGGCCATGAAAAGGTGAAGGAACACGACTAATGAAACTCTCAAAATACATATCTTATCAGCCAATTGTCACGTCCCGCCACATCACAGTTAAATTTTGCGTCCGGATAAGGGCGGAAGGGTCTAGAGGTTGTGGAGAGGTTTGCGGAGAACTCTAGAACCTTTTAGATTATGCAAGAAGGGTAGAGAATTCTCTAGAATAACTTAGACTTTTCAAGAAAAGCCTTAGAATTCTCTAGAGTGTGTAGAGAATTCTAGAGAATGGCCTTTGTGTAAATAATCTAGAGACTTGTAAGTAATTTTTAATTGCACTTTAGTCCTTAGGAGTTAGTATAAATAGGGGGTGCCATTCATTTGCAAGGCATCCAACAACTTGTAAAGCTTTCTTATAAGCAATATAAGCCTTCTTCTAAATTTCTCTAAGTCTTCCTTTTCATTCTCTTAGCGATCGTAGTTTCAAAGGGCTTACTTGAGCTTACAAGATCGTGAAAGATTCGTGAGTAAGTTGTCAAGTGCTGCACGGAGCATTAGTGAAACTCTAAGTCCATGACAAAGTGGTATCAGATCCAGGCTTGATACTAAGGGAATGGCAACTGAAGGAGACGTGAACGCCGCTAGTACCACCAACGTTTGTCCGGATGGTGGAAAGAAGAACCGCAAGGGAAAGAAGCACCAAAAGAGTCATGAAGAAATGTTGCTAGATCCCACACCAAGCGAGGCGCTAACATCTCAT